CTGGAGTGCAGTGGTGTCATCATAGCTCACTGCAGCCTCCACACGCCTGGGCTCAAGTGATCCTCCTGCCTCAGCCTCCCAGAGTGCTGGGATTACAGGCGTGAGCCACCTTGCCCAGCCAACCCAGGTGGTTTTAAGATTGAGTTCTCCTAAACATTTGAGGAGTAATTAATTCCTGTCCTATAGAAATTGATTGGGAAATGAGAAAAAGGTCCTGAGCTGCTGTTTTGGGAGAATCCCTGGACAATATAGAAAAAACGTCCCCCAAGCTGAGAGGGAACCAAGAGACCAAAGAATGATCCAGCAAGTCCAGGTTGATGAGTTTATTGAGGTTACTTACCAGGGTGCTTGCTCTTGGGCAGCACAGGAATTTCTTCCATAGGAGCGTCTTTCTCGCATGCAAAATCCGCATCTGCCCACCCTGTGGTGTTGCCTTAAGTCCCTTCCCAGAGAATGATGCAAAGTTTTTACATTGTGTCTTCACTTGTTCACAGTGAAACGAATCATGCAGGTGCAGTACCCTCATCATAGGCTGTCATGCAACCCATGGTTTTGTTTGTTTTTGTTTCGTTTTTTGAGACAGGGTGTCGCTCTGCCACCCAGGCTAGAGTACAGTGGGGTCATCATAGCTTCCTGCAGCCTCAAACTCCTGGCCTCAAGCAATCCTCCTGCCTCAGCCTCCCAGAGTGCTAGGACTATAGGCGTGAGCCTCTGCATCTGGCAACCCATGTTATGTTCATGATATTACAATTCTCCACTAGGCTGGGACTTGAGTATTACAGTTAGTGGAAGGGCACTCGTAGCATAGCCAAAGTAGTGCTAAAGCAGTCAGGGCCGGTCTGAGCCAGCCACTTCAGGGCAAGAGAAGTGCTGAGCACCTTTCCTGGGCCCAATAGTTATCTCGGTACGTGCCTGGTCTACTTCATAATAGTTCTGCTGGGCCGGGCGCGGTGGCTCACACCTATAATTCTAGCACTCTGGGAGGCTGAGGCGGGAGGATCATTTGAGCTCAGGAGTTCCAGACCAGCCTGAGCAAAAGCGAGACCCCATCTCTACTAAAAATAGAAAGAAATTAGCTGGACAACTAAGAATATATAGAAAAAATTAGCCAGGCATGGTGGCATACGCCTGTAGTCCCAGCTACTCGGGAGGCTGAGGCAGTAGGATCACTTGAGCCCAGGAGTTCGAGGTTATCGTGAGCTAGGCTGACACCACGGCACTCTAGCCTGGGCAACAGAGTGAGACACTGTCTCAGAAAAAAAAAAAAACAAAAAACTGTTGAACACTCCAGACTAGCACAGTGTTTCTGTTATGTGGTAGGGAACCTGCATTTTTCCCTTAGCTGCCTAATCCATTCTGTGAGGCTAGCCTTGATTATAAATCCAAATCAGAACCATATAAGAAAAATGTAGATATGTGAGTATAGAAGTGAGGATTTTGTAAGGTCACAGCTAACTGAATCCAACACTGTACTTTTCAAAACATCTTATAAAGTAGGGCTTAGCCCAGAATGCTAGGCTTGCAGTAATAGACTAAAGAAAAATATTGTCTGAGTTCAGTCGATACAGAAAAAACTTTTTTTTTTTTTTTTGAGACAGAGTCTCACTCTGTTGCCCAGGCTAGAGTGCCGTGGTGTTAGCCTAGCTCACAGCAACCTCAAACTCCTGGGCTCAAGC